TGGTTCTACACATGCATTATACTTTGGTCATTAGGAATCACAGCTGGAAAGATTTGTATTTGACTTCCAATGGTCTGCATTTCTCTCTCCAGTAGGGGACACCTTCTGAAACCTCTGTTGCCTTGGGGACTGTGACTTTCTAGTCTTTCTAAGCTAAAGCATATTTTGTGGTAGCACAATATGCCTCCAGCCACCTGGCAGCCAAAACAGCCTTCAGCGATGAGTCAGCAACTGCTCCCAGTGTGCAAGTATTTTTGTATTCAGTGAATAAATACAATCCCAACAACTTGTTGCTAATACTTGTATTAGTCATTAAAGGAAGAATAATGTTTTTATGTACACATATGCCATTATTCTTCTTTTGTTCTCACAGCACCATTTACAGCCATATTAATCCTTCTAGTTAAAATGGGATAGAATTAATTGTCTGGAAGCTATGAAGCAAAGTCAGAAGCTGCCTGTGAGATCAAGAGGGTAGATGGAGTGTACCAGACAGACACACATACAACATGTGCATATGACAAGCATATTTACTTTTTTAAACAGGGATGTTAATGGCATGTGTATATCAAGTGTAAAAATGAATCTTATTAATCTGTTAAACATGTATGCTCATGGATTCAAGGAGCTGTGTCAAAAAGACAGCATTTTCTTTGAAGTGCATCACCTGTCCTGATCTTCCCTTTGATCACCCTGTGCAAGGGCTTGGTAGGAGTACAAAAGGTTTTGACGTCTGTGGTGCTATTTGCCAGATATGTATCTGTATGCTTACAGTGTGAAACATGTATTAGGAATTAATTATGGGGAAGGACTAAGTGTCGGGTCAGTCATGTTCCTCTTTCATTTGCTTCCAGTAAAAGTCTTGCATGGTTTTTTTTTTTTTTTGTGTTTGTTTACAAGTAGTCTGGCTTTTGGTTCAGCACAGTTCATGGAAGATGCATCACTAATGTACTGTTGCTGCAGAGAACACTTTTCCTGTAAAATGGCCTTTTCTTGTGACTCATTGAAGCATTCATGCTTACGTTTCAGACAGACAGTCTCTTAAGGATATCCCCTTTAAAAAGCAGCAGCTGCAATAGGAAATGGTTTTATGTGTTTCCAACTTTGTGTTGACTTACTGTATTCACAAGTCTACTCTTCTTTAATTACAGTTAGTGTAGAGGGCAAAAAGGGTTTCTTTCCTTCTTGGGAAGGAAGCCTCAAAAGGGTTGTTTTGTTGCTCCCACATGGAGGTGGCAAAGCGTTCATCCCTGGTATTTTTGTGCAGTAGTGACTCTGAGGATTGAGTTATTTTGATTAAGGGCAAATCAGCCTTGTGAAGCTTAGGGAAATGATACATCAGTGTCACAATAGTTATGAATCTTAGAAAAATGTCTCAAAACATATCACATTAAAAAAGATATATATATGCCAATTTCATGGAATCACTCTTCTGGGTTTTCTGTCCATCCTGAAAGCTAAATTATAGCACACCAAAAACTCCTCAGTCTTGAAATATTTAAGAATTTTGGTCTTGGCTAAAGCATATCTGGGGAAAAAGAGAAACTTGTGAAAAGGCCATTTTTTAGTTATTTCCATAAATTGTTTACTGCAAATAATATCTGCCATTCCATTCTGTGGCTCTTGTCCCATGCTGAATTAGTACCACAGAAAGCAGATCAGCCCAGAAGTGAAGCTATAGCTCCAAACCCCATAAGCTGAGCTTGCTGCTGAAGCACTTAGTCCCAGCTTGCTCCTCTTCACAGGTCATCATTTTTCTGTTGTCCTGGAACAAGCATCAGTCTGAGTACATGATGCCATCGATCAGATAGTTTAGGATGGCTTGTTAAACACTAAGGGCAACTTCTTTATCAGATTAGTTCTGGCCTTGATCATTGTGCTGCTCTAGTTCACTTTCCAGCACTGCTATGGAGAGAGGACATAGTGAGTGAGCTGCTCCAATACGTGGGCCAGTGAAGGTGTGTGTGGGACCACACCACCATGGAAGAAAATGCTGGCTGAATACAGACCTAGGGAAATACAAGCAAGCCCTAGGTCTAGGAATAAAACCTGGAAAGCTGCCCTCAACGTAGTGCTCTATTTTTTACTTCAAAACAAAATGGTGTCAACATTCTTTAAAAAGTTATGTGAGATGTTATGCTTCTTATAAGCAAGGAGAACCAAGAGTAAAATATTTCCTATTCTGCTCTTGCATGGAAATCTCCTTAAGTGTATTAGGCAAATACAGGAAACAATTTTAATTGGAAAAGGACAAAAATGCTGTACCAAAAAGTGACTTCAAGAGGCAGTGAAATAAACACAGTAGAATATAAAGTAAATACATATTAGTTTTTCTCAGTATTTGTCTAATCACATCCCACTGATTCTCTTGCAGGCCTGTAAACCATCATAAAGTACAGTTCTAAAACTCTTATTTACCAGATAAAACCTAAACTTAATACCATCCTCAAAAAGTTCCCCCTTTAAAAAAAAAAAAGGCATATGAGTTCAGTCTCAGTCCTTCCACTGTTTTTTTCAGAACATGGCCTCCTTTACCTATCACTGGAAAGAGTAGGTAATCCTTTTCTACCCATGTGAGGTATAAAACTTGAGGAGCCAGAAATCTGTTATTGTATGAGATGCACAAAGCAGCTTCCTGCATGAAGGAGGACACCAGTATGGGCGTTCTTACATGTGTTTATGCTCCCAACAGTGTGAAATAGTAAAACTGTACATGCCAAATCAGGACTCCTCTTGTGTGCCCACAAATTAACCCACTTTATAAAAATTCCATGAGAGTTTCCATTAGAGAGGGTCCACCAATGAAGCTGAGATGTATTTCAAGCTTAGGATTTCTGTGCCAAGTTTTAAACATCCTTTTGCCTTTCCCTTACTAAGTCTCTACAAGACAATTTTTTACCCTCTTGGCTGCCAATAGAATAAAATAATCTAACAAAGCAGATTTCTTCAGAGTCTGCAATGTGTTTGTCCACTATGCTCTCCTAGCATAGTTCCTTGCTTGTGGAAGCTACAGAAGACCACTTTGTTCTTGCATGCCACTTCATTGAGGTCTTACCCAAAGAACTCTGTTTAAGGAATCTGCCTGAGCTGTAATAGCTTGATAAAAACATGGTATCTAGATGTCACAGGGACGTTGTGGTTAGCTGTGCAGTTTGAGCACTTTTAGGAGTATGGCTGTATGGAGAAGGATGCTAGGAATCTCTGGAGTTTGATAAGGAAGGACAAACCTGATCAAACTGAGATGTGAGTAACAAACCAAAAATTTTGCTTTTGCTTTTTGAGACCAAATTAGTGGTTTTTAACCCAGTCCTACAGGACACTTTATAAAAGATTGTTTTCACCTGTAAACCTAGCAATGCCTGTGCAATCAGTAAGGACTGAACCCAGGACTAGTTACTTTTAAATAAATAATAGCAGGCTCTAGAGCCACTGCTTACAGGTCATGCTACAAACACAGTGTTCTTGAAATGTGTGATGGGATCTGTGTGAACTTTTCCAAATCCATTTCTTCTTGTTAAGTCTTGAGGGCAGGAATAAATGACCCATTGCTAAGATGCAAGATGAGCACGGGTTTTCTGGAAGCATGTTTTGTGTGTGCTTGTGATTCAAATGGCACAAATCTACTCACACTGGAATACAAACATAATTTAATGGCTATCTGGAAGGACTTTGAAGAGCTGTCTATTGACACATCTCCAATGCACCAACTCCAGTTGCAACTCTCTTATTTGTGATTATGTAAAAAATGCCTTGCAACTGTGTTGTTCTGCCCTGTTGGGCTAATCTGAGTTGAAACATCTTGTTCATATAATGTGCTTCAGTGCTCTTTTATGAACTCCTGTGTACTGAAGCAAAGTTGTGGGAAGCCAATCTTCTGTTTCCTCGTCTGCTGGGGATTGGGGAGGGGGGTAGGGGGCGGAGATTTGGGCTGGTTTGTTTTGTTTTCCAGAAATGATCATGCCTGCTTAGCAAATATGGAATTCTGGATGAGAAAATGAAGACTGACTTCTAATAGAGAGTTGGTTATTGAGGTGAAATAGTATCCTAGACTGGGCAATGTAAGGAGAAACCCACCTGTTTGTATGAGATGCCATTAAAGTGCAGGAAGGTGGGGGTATAATCGGAGCCACTTTTGCAGGGGTGATTACATATAACAAAAGGAGGAACAGCGTCCCTGTCCCAAAGCTGCATTATGTAGTCTGGTGTCCCCCTGAAACTCAACTCCCATGTTTCTTCCTTGACAATGGGACCTGAAATAACCTCTTGGTTTTGGTTTTTTGTGTGTTTTCAAGTATGTTCTTGCTTAAGGTTTAATTGGCTCCAGTCAGTAGGAAAGGGCTCCAAGGCTGATTATTTATGGCTTACTGTCAAAAGTGGCTATAAAAAGGGCAGTATTATCTTGGAGATGCTGGGAAGGAAAATGTGGTGGGGGGAGGGTGGGGGAGTGTGTGTGTGCACGAATGTGTTTTCTTGTACTAGATGAAATCAGAGTTTTGCTGTCTCAGCAGTGTGGTTTAAATTGAAGATTAACCCTTTGACCTTCACGGTGTCAAATCACTTACAGATGGATCACCAGTTATATTTTTTTCTTTTTTTTACTTTCGGGGTGAAGGGGGGCTTTTTTTTTTTAAAAAAAAAAAAAAAAGGTTGTTTGTTCATGCAGCTGGGGCTTTTGAAAGGCTCAGAAGCCAATCTGATTAAAAACAGCACTTGGCTAAACTCTGCGAAATCCTACAAGCAAAAAAAAAAGTTTAATCCTCTTGTGCACAATGCATAAAGGGTCTGCTCTTTTCTTTTTGTAATGTTAGAGCTACAATTATTTCTGGAGAACTTATCATTTCCCTCTCTCCCCTCATCCCTTGCTGCACCCCCTTGTTATGCTGATGGGATTAAAGTGTCTGCTCTTGAAAAGTGTAACTGAGTTGTTATTGGAAAAGAGAAGTGGTATGTTGCAATTTTAGAAATATAAATAACCTTGCTTTAACTGTTCTTCTCTACAGCATCAGCAGAACAGAAATCAAGTGTGGTGGCAGCTTTTTCTCTTCCTACACAACTTGGCCTTAAACACGGAGGTGAACAGGAACCACACTGGGCAGAGGTGAGCTTCGCCCGCCTGTTTCAGGCCACATCCAGTCTGCAGGGAGCACTGAACAAACACTGGTTCGGGGGCGAGACATTGCACACCGCCGGCCGGATGTGAGGACTCTGACTTTCTGATCCTCGTCTTCAAGTTTGGGTGTTTTTACGGACTCTTCTTTGCTGCTGCCTGCCTCGCGAGGCGGGGAGCTCTTGTCCAACACTGTTGAAGGAAAGCCAGAATGTGGGTGTGTTTGGTAAAGCTTGCTGCTGGCTCCCCGCACCGGTGACCTCTGTGCAAGGGAGGCAGGTATTAGACTGACGGCTTCCTCTGCCCTGGGTAGTAGTGGATGGTAGAGTGCAGGAGTGTCATTTTGGCTGCTAGTTAAAAGTGATGCCTGGAATTGATGATTAAACATACTTGGGGTATCTTTTAGAGCAGAGATGCTCAATTCCTCCACATTGTTAGCAACAAAAAGCATTCAAGTATCTTGGTTCCATGAAGTTACTTGTTTTATTCACTGGTTACTGTTCATTTCATTGCACCCTATGTGAGAGAAAACCACAAAGAAATCTGACCTCTTCAGCCATTCCATTGGGCACCACTTGCAGCTCTCTCACAAGAAGTTGTTCTTTGTCATTGCCATCAATTAAAAAAAAAAGAAATCAGTAGAAGGGTCTGAAAAAGAAACCTCCTTGGGGGTGCTGGTGGCTATTAGCTTCTGCCACTGGCTGCCTTCAGTTCAGTGTTCTCAGTGCCCATGAGCCAGCAGGAAGTCAAAATTCATGGAATATGGCACAAGTGTCATCCTTCTACAATGCTAATGTATATGTTTTTAGTAGTTTTATGATGGATGTTTATTTTATTTTGGTTTTCTCTTCTCTTACTACATAATGTGGTTGGTCAAGAAGGCTTAGATCCCAGGCATCCGATAATTTTGCTTCAGGATTTGACAGGGAAATTAATTAGCATCTAGTCTGATATGTACACTGTACAAGCAGTCTGTCCATTACTCTAGCATGTAGTGTTTGGAGGCTGCTGTAAGCATATACTGACTAGCAGCAGTAATGTTATTTCAAGGGAGATCTTCTATCAGTTTGTATGCACTCAGAAGTTTGTCCATATGGCTGACACTATTGGACCAGCACAGGGAAACTGCCCTACCAAAAGGAAGCAGCCTTAAATATTGATGGCTGCTTCTCTGTAGCCTTAAATATACTTAGTTCACAGACCCAGTGACAGCTAGGGTAAAACATGAACAGAGAAGCAATACAGACCTTATTATTTTTTCTGAAAATTTCCATATTGCCACTGCACCTTGTTGTAGGTCCCAAATGATAAAACCAGCTTGAGGAAGAGCTGTCCAGAGAATTGCTCTTCAGTTGTGTTAGAAATGTCCAGCTGCAGGTGTTGAGAAATTCTTCTGCTCTTGATCCACTCTGAAAAATATTCATTACTGTATGGAAGAGTCGTTTACTTGCACATATGCTTTCCTTCTCCACCCCTCTTTGCATATTTGTCTCTAATTCCTGCTTTCTCTGGTATTTGTGTAATCTCATCATTGCACTGTAGTGTCTGGTAACAGTTTGCTGAACAGAGTCACATTTGGACCTTCTTGCTTTCTCTCAGCCCCATTCTCTTTTTCATCCAGCCTCTACTGTGGCAAAATGTACTTTAGCTCCCTGGAAGAGGTTCCCAAGCCTTTTTCACCCTCATATATTCACAGTCACTCTCTTTAAACATAAGGAGAGAGTTTATGTGAGAAAAGCTTTTTTTTTTCTCTCCTTTTGTTTTATTTTTCTAGCTAGAGCTAGAGTAATATGTTTGTCCATGATGTTAATAATTCATATAAATGAATCTCAAGTAATATTTTTGGGGGTGGGTTTTATGGAGAGGGAGGGTGGGAGGTTTGTTTTAGGAAGGGGAATTGTTTTTGGTTTTGTGTTGTTCCTTTAAGCATGTGCACTACAGAGTTACCCAGAGTGATCTAAGTGATAGCTGACTATGCTGCAGCAGGATGGAAGCTGCTCTCTGCCCATGCTGCCAGAGACAAGGCTTTCCATACTTTGCTTTGCACAGTCTGCTTGATGTAAACGCTGGTCATTGGAGAAAGAGGACTTAAATGGTGGGGAAAGCCTGAGGTGTAGTGCAAGCACAGATTGAGTTGGGGACTCCTGAGAAGCCAAATGTTAAGGAGAAGACTCTTAAATAAGAAGCTCTTTAAGAGGCAGAAGTGGAAGTGTGGAGGCTCAGGAAGCAAGGCAGCAATGATGCCTCCCCATGTGGCATGCCCTTGGATGTGATGCTTGCATTTCCCTCTGTTTGCCAGGACCCTTTTATCAAGAACAGTCAATGCTACATCATAACAGCCCTGCAAACTACGAAAAATTCAGCAACTGCTTCTGACATTTAAAAATCATTGTGAGCTTTCCCCTTTCCCAATGCCTTGACTTGATGGCCAAACAGGCCAGTAAGACCTGTCCTCTGGATGCATAAGCTGGAAAGATAAGTCTGGTACTGCCACTTTCTAGCGTTAAGACCTGACCAATTTGTCTAGGACGAGACTCTTCTTAACATGGAGAACAAGTACCTGAAATGGTTCCTCAGTCAGGCTGCTGGCCTCAGTAAAGTCATTTGGCTCAGGGAAAGACACATCTTTGCCAGTCTGTATTTCCCACTGCAACAACAGACTTATCAAAATTGGTCATGCCAGGGTCTCAAAACCTCCTTGAACAACAATACTTCATTGGAGACATAGAGCTAGTGCTAGACAAAGGCCGACTTCCTGCAATATGTGTGTTGGTTACTGGTGCCAGAGATTTACAACCACTGATAATATATTTTAATTATATTCCATATCTGCATATCTCAGAGAAAGGAAATATGCTCTGTCAACCCAAAAGTCTTACTTTGCTTCACGTAGATTTGGAGGGGCAGGCTGGTTATTCGCTTAGGGAAAAGCAACTACTTCATACTTAAAGTCTCACCTACTTGGGGAAATAGTGGGAAGGTTTCACGTATTTATCAACAAACATATGCACAGCACTCATGTATGTGTCACCCATTCTGTGTTTGTAAGGCCCCTTGAACACCTGCTGGGGAGATCTTGCCCACAGAGCAGCTACTGCAGCATTGCCAGGGACATTTGTAGATTTTTTTGAGAAATGGTTTAAAAGAACATGGTTTAAATCCTGTGCTGAAGGATTATGCTCAGGTTTTTAGACATGAGTTTGTTCTGGTGTAAAGAATGGGGCATTTTCTCTCTGTGCTGTTAAACTAGAGTCTAACAATTCAGAAAGAAGAGTTGGATCTTTCTCCTAAAACAAATTCCTGTTTTTAATGAGCAATTCTTAAGAAAACCTTGAGCTGCTGCTGATAGTGCCAGCAGCCTTTAAATATCTTACTTGCCTTCCCCAGATCTCCAAAATGGCTTCAGAACTCAACTGTCCTTACTTGAGGGATGGAGTTCTTCCTATCCCTTCCCAGCTTCCTACTCTTTTGATTATCTTGTAACCTGCCCATCCTAGGATCCAGCAAGCCTGGTGCTAGTAGGGAATAGTTAGCTTTACTTTTGTTTCCTGCAATTCTTGAAAGCTGAGCCAGTAATCACAAAGTGACTGCCCAGGGATAGCTGCAAACTGCTGCAAATAGGATACAAAAAATGCAGGAGAGGATGAAATTGCATGGAACGTGCTGCTGCTGGATCTGTATACGGCTGCAGCCTTCTCTCAAGGTGCTGATGATCCCTGGTAGCATCGAATTCCTGCATAACTGATCACATATTTCAGTTTAAATAGGTTGTTACTAAATATTTGTTGGCTGAACTCTTGTTTGAGGAGTGCTGACTCCTTGTCAGCCTTTGTTTTGGAACTGTGTGTCTGCAAAGAAATAGAGGCGAGGAACCCAGTCTTCCTTGGTGTAGGAAGTGTGATTGCAAAGACATCTTTCTACTGGCTGTTTATTTTGTCTCCTCAAGCCTGGAGTAAAGGTATAGGCAATGTGTGTATGTGAAGTTACTACAGTCCTGGAGTTGCTCCATAGCAGTCACCGGAGCTGTACCCAAGGTGGAACTTCATTCGGTGTGGCACTTGGCACTCTTCTGGGAAACAGCAGATCCTGACCATTAGTAGACTAGGAAGACTGGTTTTTTGTTTTTGTTGTTGGTTTTTTTTTGTTTTTTTTTTTTTGTTCTTTTTTTTTTAAGAAAAAGCAAAATTACTTGAGGCAGTTATTACAATGTGACCCTTGCAACTGTTCAATGGATTCCACCCTTCTACTGCTGGTCCTGACCCATATCTCTGCTGAAGCTGTGGGAATGGTGAGACTGTGACATGCTGAATGGTGTGATATTGAGGGTATTTTTAAAGGGAAAAATAGGGAAAGCACTCAGTGTATGTGCTAGAATCAAACAAGAATGCAGATTTGTGGAGGTCTTGCCTTGTTTTACCAGCAGTATTTACTGTGGGATCATAAATAAAAGAATAATGGAATGCTGGTTCATATTAATGGGAGGTCTGCCCATGAACCAAGCACTGTTGAGTATTAGCATAATTTGACAACAAAGGTTTTAATAATGTCCTTCAAAAGAGTTTGTCTTTCAAACTGGCATTTGTGATCATTTGCCTGCCTGTTGCCTTTGATTGTTTTAGCAAGAAGAAATACCTCAAGGAATTGATAAAAGATCCTAGGACAATCTTTTACAGTTCCTAAAGACTTCAGTGGTCTCTGTTTCTTTGGTTTGCATGTGTTCACACAGGTGTTACACAGCTCAGCTCTTCTCCACCAGGAAAAGCAAAAAAGACCAAACACATCAAATGCACTGGAATGTAATTGTGTGTGTGTGAATCTGTGTGTGTGTGTGTGTGTGTGTGTGTGTGTGTGTGTGTGTGTGTGTGTTCTTGAACTGAATGCAGTCTGACACCCCCTACCCCTTCTTTCTTCCATGTGCCTCACCTTCCCCCTTTAGCCACAGAAAGGAGGGTCTCTTCCTGCGAATCCCATGCTGGAAGTTGGTTTCTGGGAAGCGAAACCTAATGTCTGTGGGCTGTTTTTTAAAGCCATGTTTCAGTTCTGTCTTCAGACTTTTTGCTGCCTTTGGGGAACAGAGGGATGGGAAGGGTAGATTGTTAAACTGTTTTTAAAATCTGTTATGGAAATTTTGCATGTATAAAGTTATTCTTAAATCTAAAGGAGTCTCCCCAATTTGTGGACATGGCTCCAGGAGAGCATCATCACAGATTCCTCAACTCAGTTTTAGATGAGACCATCTATACTCAAATAGTCTATGCTCCTGAAAGGAGTATTTGGTGACAAAAGGAGGAGGGATTGGTGTGATGGAAGGATGACATTGTCAGTATGTCCTTAAATGCATGTTAGAAGTTAGGCTTGTAAAAGGGAAAATTTAAAACAATCCAGGATATGTATGTCTGTTTCTACTGGGTGCATTTGAATCCTGCCACTAAATTTGAGTTTGGATAAGTAAATGTTGGGGTTTTTTGGTTAAAATAATCGTGGCTCTCTTGTGTTCTCTTCCTTGGTATGTAGTACAGTCTCCCATGTTTCTAGGTGAAATTCACTGGTAAGAATACTGTGAAATGTGGATTCACATTTTCTTCCCCTCCTTCCCCCCCTGCTTTCTGCATGACTGTTCTTCAGTGGGAAATTAAAAAAAAAAAACAACAACAAGCAACAACAAAGTTGTTCAGAGTCCTTCATCTGGAAAACAAAAAGGGCAAGATGAGCTAGAATTTGCAATGTACTTAATAAATTTCGTCTCAGTGGAGGGTTTCCCCATGACTTCTGATTTTCACCAGAATATGATACTGTCCTGCTGCAGAAGTAAACCTGATGCTCTCCTGTGAGATTTCTGTCTGGATTAGTCCTGAAGTGCACACACCTTCTTTGCCATGGACTGAGACCCAGTGAGAATGTAGCATTTTGTTTATCCTGGTTGTGTGCCTCCAGGACTCCTGCCTGTACCAATGGTGACTGGGCAGAGCTCCTTTTTTGTATCTGTGCAGTATATTTGCTTTGTGCTTTCTTCTTTGGTGCTTTTTAATACTTTAATACTTGGATTTTTTTTTCTAATAATTGGTACAATTTTTAATAAAATTGTTAAATTTGTCTGTGTTCCTTGATTTATTTTTTAAGGGATGAAGGGCATTTACACAGCTGACCTATTCTGGAGTTACCTAAATCAGTGATACAATTTGGGTTGTTCAACTTTGAAAATATCCGGTAGGTCATTTAATATGCACCCTAATATTAGGCCCTGCGGCAAGGACAAGATCTGCTTTTGAGATTGGACTGCTTTCCTTGGGCACAATTTGATTTATAAAATAATCTTTCAAGAAGACGTATTTCTGTGCTTGGACAGAGAACTGCTGCTGCTTGGAACTGCACAGTTAACCCACTTCAAATCCGGAAGATCTTGTTAAAATACATGAGGTACATCCTTCAAATTTGCAAAACGTAATCTTTGATTGATGACCACTTACCTACTGCCTACACAGGTACATTCAAAGGCACAGAGGCCTTAAGAATAAAGACTTATTGCTAGATAATCCTGTTAAGGAAATATGGTTCTCGCTGGTCTTCTGAGGCAGCAGAGGAAGGTGAGAGTGCTTGTAGGGTGCTAATGACTCCTTCAAACACAGACTTGTGAATGTCTTGGCCATCCCAAGCACAGCAGTCATCAGGCCTGTCTTCAAGTTTTCCTCTGTTCCTATTAGGAAAAACTACCTCCACTAAGTAAAGGTAGCTAACCTGGGTAGAGCTGCAATAATGATATGTGTATTGTGAATTATTTGTAATATAGCTGGTCAAATTCCTTCAACCCCATTGTT